GGATGCTCCTGGGTCGATAACAACCCAGAGGAAGTGATGCTTTAAGCCAGTCCACATCCATTTCCCTCATCCCCGTACCTTTCCTTTCTTTGAAATGAACGCGGGCAGAAACGCTCCAGGCTCCCGCAACAACTCCAATCTGAAGAGACAACAACAACAAATAACTTTATGCTTACTGTGGTTAGGAGGGGTTTCATCTGTTCGGCGCTATCTTCCTCCATTTGTTCAAACTGTGCACTTCTTCCGTCCCTCGCCGGACACTGATTTGAATATGATATTTCGAAAAGCCCCTTCGCTCGTGTCACAGCCACTGAGAGCGTGTGAATGGTATTTTTACATATATCTGGGTTCGGCAAATCCCGCCCTTTTGGAGATTGACAGGTGATTTCATCCGCTCACTCTCGAGCGACCGGCTTTTTTTCTAGCCAATCACGTCGCCGGAACGACGCTAGTATATGCATATTAATGAGGAGCGGAAGAGTTGATCGATTATTGGTTGGCCTGCAAAATCCACTAGGGAAAAGGACGAACTCGCGGTGAGGATGAGTGTGTGGAAAACTGAAAGTTTTGAAAGACGCATTATGGGGGTTTTTAAGCCTAATGTGTTGTAGAATGAGAGAGATAACAGTAAAAAAAAAGGGATGTCAAGAACTATCCAGCCTCTCAACAGCCCAAGCAGACAATTGTTGTACAGCAGGGGTCGTTAACCTTTACAGACTGACCACTACCTTGACTCCTAGCAAACCCAGAGACACAATATAGAAAGTTTATAATAACTTTCATTTAAAAACGTTATTGCATTATGCTAATCAGATCATTATTTAAATTTCATCCTAGTAGTTGCTAGTCCTATGTATGTGCTAAGTATGTGCAAACCCTGCAATAATAAAATGGATGACAAATAACACATATTGCTACTTATAGCCTAAGAAAATGTTTATATCTATACATATTGTTTATATTTATATATATTTTATTTTAGGTGCTCTAACGTTCTCAAACATTAACTCAAACTGTTTGCAGACCCTAAACGTCTCATAGTATATTGTAGTTTTGAACTTGAAGTCAATATTTTCTGTTGCATCAGTTTTACTTTAGTTCCCCACTGAATAATTTTTTAATGCCTAATAAAGGTCTATCATATTGCATATCGTAGTTGTAACTAGTCACTATTTATTTTTGTCAACAATTCTTTCTAAATTGGTCCTTTGTTGTGGCAAATGAGGACTGAACAAAACAAGCCTCAAATGCTAAAGTGTTCTTGTCCTAAAGTATATGACAATGTATTTCTTTATTTATCGTTATTGATGGAGTAATAGATAAAAGTTTTGTTTTATTTAAAAAAAAAAAACTTTTAGGCACAGCTATGCATGACTACTAATATCACTGATTATGAAAAAAGCTTTGAAAAAGACAAAAGACAAAAGAAAGACATCTGAAAAAGACAGATTGTAATTTTTAAATATTTTAATATTTTAAATAAAATAGTATTTTTTTTTGTTTCACGTTATGGCTGATATAGACTCGATTATTTATTTATTTATTTATTCACCAGACATTTCACGTACTGTAACTGATGCCAAGCCAACTGAGAATGCATTTCTATCCTTGTACTGCAACACCCCCTAGTGGTTGAGAAGTTCTCTGCATGCATTATCCTTTCATATGGGCTACAGTAGTTGATGACCGTCTTTTAACATAATGTCACATGACATTTTTCTGTGATTTTATTCCAACATTTAATTATTTAATTATTTGTTATTATTAGAATTGAAATAAAGGCATTTAAGTTAGGCTCCCTGTATTGTATTTTAACAAGCAAAACTATTACAGTGAACAGATTTTACATTGATTTGATGTTAAAAAAATACATTTACATTATGATGTTGAATCACTTATTTATCACTTACTTATTTATTAATCATTTGTTAATTATTTATTCTGATACTGAAGCTGGGACCTCTAGTCCTGTCACTCCAAAAACCTTGTCAGAAGTTGCAACTGAACCCACATCACCAGAAATCTCACAGTTTGACGCCTTAACCACTTGGCTTTTCTGACACTGTCGTAGGACAGCAATACACATGATCATTGCTTACTCATTTGCATAATGTGCCATGCTAACTTTTTTGAGTTGACCCTTTTGACTCAAAATGCCTCAATATCATCAAGTCTCTTCAAAAAAAAGTCCAGCAGTTAGGATATTTGTTCCTATCCTATAAAATCCTATTTGTATAACTGGAATTCACCCAATGTTTACATGTGATGTTTAAGAATCATTCTCTTCATATTTTGTGGAGGTGGAGTCTTGTGAGCAGCATGACTTCTTACTAGGAAAACAAATTGAAAAACAAAATGAAAATGACTCCAGATAAACACACCATCAATAATGATTCATTTCACATCTTCACATACTATTAATCTGAACGGATTTTAAGCTGGGGGCTGAAAATTTGTTACACAGTGTAAGTATTCTGCACATTTAACATTCTCTCTCTCTCTCTCTCTCTCTCTCTCTCTCTCTCTCTCTCTCTCTCCGTGTTTGTGGGTTAGGTAAAAGCTAGAATAAGCAGCTAGTATTGCAAATAATACCATTGCAAACTATTGTATATAAATCCTCTTTATTTGATCATTGTGTACTCAGTGTGGTTATTGCAGAAATATACTGAGTAGATGGCTGTTTTATATGATCATCCAGATCTTGTGTTGTGACTGGCAGGGTCAAGTGAACATCTTAAATTCCAAACTTTCTTTGGACCAGCAGAAAATCTCCGGTGTCATTATCTTTAGGTTGTACTTTTAAGTTGCATTGAAAAAAAACCCTGAAATCTAAATCAGCTGTCTTTGCCAATACTGTTTGTGTACCTTGTGATGTGTCGTCTGAGCAACTCTTCCAGTAAATCCTGATTTTCAGCTGTGAGAATGTGCACAGTGACATTTGCTTCCTCTTCCTCTTGGTTGACAGTAAAAAGAAAAGCATGCTTTTAACTTCTGTATGGTTAATGAATTGGAACTGATATTAGTATATTTGTATATAACTATGCATAACCACTTATGTCACTGATTATTGTAGTCACTATGGCTAACTTTGAGGCAACTGACAATAAACACTGCATGGAACCATGCACCACCTTAAAATGTCCACCTTCTGTCTTAACACTCTAGCCACATCCTTCTTTAAAAGTGTGTTTAGTTGTCTGGAATCTGACCTAGAAAAAGTAAATAACTCACTCCATTCTGGCATTTATCCAAGGAGTTGTTAGGCCTCTTCTAAAGAAGAGCAAGCTGGATAACTCAGTTTTGAACATCTATAGACCTATCACAATTGGCAATGGCAATTGGCAATGACAACTTCCGGTCTGGTTTCCAAACAAATTACAGCACAGAGACATCACTGATTAATAATTTTTTTAAAAAAAGAAAAGTGATGTGTGGCCAAGTATGGTTACCCATACTAGGAATTAGTGCTCTGCACACACACAGCAGTGAACACGCACACCGAGCAGTGGACAGCCATTTATGCTGCGGCACCCAGGGAGCAGTTGAGGGTTCAGTGCTTTGCTCCAGGGCACCTCAGTCGTGGTATTAAAGGTGGGAGAGAGCGCTGTACATTCACTCCCCCCACCTACAATTCCTGCTAGACCTGAGACTCGAACTCACAACCTTTGGGTTACGAGTCTGACTCTCTAACCATTAGGCCACGACTTCCCCAATTTTAATAATATAATATTCACCTAAATGCTGATACTAGTATTTGTATTGCTAGATCTCAGTGCTGCATTTGATACTTGTGACCACAATATGCTCCTCAACAGACTGGAACAGAGGGTGTAGGACTGTCTGAGACACTTTTCACATTGGTCTTACACATCTTGATGTTGAAAATGGCCCTATCATTTACTTACATTCTAAACTAAAGCTGGTACGTCTAGTCCTGTCACTGCAAAAACATTGTGTCAGAAGTGGGATTCGAACCCTCGACTTCCTTACAGAGGACCAGATGTCCCAACGTTGGATCTTAGCATCAGTTGAGTCTGGCACCATGACCACTCGGCCATCCTGACATGGCAGATTGATAACGATAAACTTGATGATCCTTGCTTCCTTGTGTCATGCTCATAACAAATAATAAACAAATACTGCTTTTAAAATCTTTTGAGTTGACCCTTGTGACTCTAAAAGCCTTAAGATCAACAAGTATAATGTATAATAAGTATAATGCAATGTTTACATCTTAAAACAGTGTGCCGTTTAAGAATAGTTCTCTTCATATTTTGTGGAGGCGGAGTCTTTCAGTCTGAGCTACAAGACTTCTTACTAGGAAAAACAAAATGAAAATGACTCCTGACACATAGTTGATCAATAATTATTCATAAGTACCATATCTTCACATACTACATGGATTTTAATTTGGGAGCTGAAAAATTATTACTTAGTGTAAGAATTCTGCTACTGTCTGTGTTTGTGGGTTAGGTAAAAGCTGGAATAAGCAGTTAGAACTAAATACTATTGCAAACTATCATGTATAAATCCTCTTTATGTGTTCAATGTGTACTCACTGTGGTTATTGCAAAAATATACTGAGTAGATGGTTGTTTTGTAAGTTCATGCAGATCTTGTGTTGTGACTGGCAGGGTCAAGTGAACATCTTCATTCCAAACTTTGCTTGGACCACCAGAAAATTGTGACATCTCCTTGAAAAAAAAACTGTAAATCTAAATCAGCTGTCACTGCCAACACTGTTTGCTTACTTTGCTTACTTTTTTGTCTAAACAACTCTTCCAGTAAATCCTGATTTTCTGCCATGACAATGTGCACAGAAACATTTGGTTCCTCTTCTTCTTGGTTGATAGTAAAGAGAAAAGCATGCTTTTAACTTCTGTAGGGTTAAAAAATTGGAACTGATAACAGAGTACATAAGTACATCAGAGTTTTTAACTGAAAACATTAGTTTCTTACAGTTCCCATCCCAACACATATTTCTTTCAGTGCATTTAAAGATGCCTAGACGTGATGATGTGACCAGCTTTCTGCAGCAGTCAGTGTCACCTTTTGACCAGCGTGTGGTGTCTAAATTCCTGAAGATCAGGCCAAAGATTCTGGGGGTAAAACAAACTGAAACACTTGAATTTTTCATTTTGATTTGAGGGGAAATGAGGAAACAGATGCTGTCTTGTTTTATATCTTACAGGTTTTGGAAATATCAACAGGTATAACAATGTTAATCTTAACAATCTGGACAGGATTTTTATATCTCCTCTGGCCATGTTTAATTGTAAGTATTTAATGTCAACATCATAACAGCATTGTGCAATGAACATATGCTGAATAATATTCATTATCTTCACTGCAGTCGATTTTAACCGGATCTGTGACGGTGTCAGCCGCATGTACACATAACACATGTCGGGTTAGTCTGAATATCTAATAAAAATTATTTTACTTTTTATTAGATTATAATGCATTACATTTTCCCCATTGTTCCCATTTCAGGTCAGAATCTCACAATTTCTAAACTGTTTCAATGCCATAGCAGCTGCTATCTCCATCCCACTTCACTGTCTTGACAGTGATGTAAGTGTCTGTATAGATGTCCTGCTTTCATTCTTACAAAATTAAAACATATCTGCAAAACTTACATTCTAACCATACAAAGTGCTAATACTATCAACTATAAACATTGTTTTAATTGTAGCCTATTTAAGCTCCACACTAATATGTCCTTTATAACATTTATATCACTCATGTGCAGTTTCTGTCAGCTTCTTAAAGATAAATATTTATAACTAATAATAAAATGTGTTTTAGGTTATAATGTCTACTGTCTGTGTACTCACTCAGGGTGTGACACTAATTCTCTTGGTTTTCTGTGATGCTCTGGTCTTCATCATCTCTGTTATAGTTGCCTCGTCTTCCTGTGACTGCTGCAGGATGAAGGTAAAAAGATTCAGTTCAAAGATCTTACTTAAAACTGAAAAAATATATATACTTTTGTCATTATTTACTTGCCCTCATGCCATTCCAAACCACTACTTTTCTTCTGTGGAACACATAATGAAGATGAATGAGGACGGGCTCTTTCACTCTGTAAAATGAAAAAAAAAGCACCATAAATGTAGTCCATATGTTCATGCTCACTATATATTATAAGCCTTGTTAAGACATAGGATAAAGCAAAGTCAGCCTTAGCTCTTCTTTTGAAAGATATTTTTTTCAGTGAATCAGATGAGCTTACAAAAACTCACAAAAGCAGTCTGACATAAAAACAGTTTCATTTAATGATTGTTTTATACTCATAAGAAGCAACTGATTCAACCATGATATAAGAGGGTGTTTATTTCAAAATTAAGTTAACTACAATCAATTTTATAATAATTTATTTCTAAATGTGGAAATGCAGAAATAATTGTATATTAGATTTACATATTAGCACTTTCATTCACACAGAAAGAGGCACTTTTTATATTTCATCCTTATGATTATTTGACTGCATTTTTGACAGAAGCAACCTCATTTGCCTATCCATTCTGATTAGTTAATTAACTGGCACTAGGTGTCACTACATCCCCTTTAGATTTACAAGCAATAATGAATGCAACACAATAATGATGTTCTATTTTTGTTGTGTTCTCTGTCTCTTTCAAGTCAAGACATGTTGCAGTCAGTTACATAAACCGAGATGTGCCTTATATGACTGACAACAATATTGTGCAATCAGGCCCTTTTGCACCTCCACCAAATTATGATCCGAGTCCTTTAGAGCCTCCACCAAAATACCATCCAAGTCCTCTTGCACCTCCACCAAAATACTATCCATATCCTACACATCCAGCAAACTACAACCCAAGTTCTTCAGCACCGCCACCAAACGATGATCCAAGTCCTTCTGCACCTCCACCAATCTTTGATCAAAGTCCTTCAGTACCTCCACCAAACTATGATGCAAGTCTTCTGCCCCTCCACTAAGTTATGATCCAGGTCTTTCTGAACCTCCACCAAGCTACAATCCATGTCCTTCTGCACCTTCAGTGAACTATTAGGTAATTAAGAGGCCATTTCTAGCCTGTTGAAGAAATCAGTTGCATTTTTCAAGCTCCTTACTTTCTGGATATAATTTATAATTTCCAAAGACACACTCTTAAAACAATGTGACAGTTCCATATTTTCAGCATTCATTTGTGTTACCTCATAAGCATCCTTTATAAGTGCACAAGTTCACAACTGTAAACGCTTTTTTTCCCCATTGTTTTTATAACCTTAAATTTGAGTTTGAAATTCTGTTATAATCGACACGTCACAGAAACTAACATTAGAGATTATATTGTATTTAATATTGTAATGTTAAACGCATTACTTTTTACTATAATTATTAGATGTATGTGTGTAAATACAATATAAGATATTAGTCATCATAAAACATTGTCTCTGCCAGCTCATTCAAGTGTTTGGTATTTTATGACATTTAATCAAAATAGCAGATAGGACCAGTGTTATAAAAAGAAACATAATGCTGCATACTGTATGCTATAGTAGGCTACACATCCCAGATGTTTCAGAAACATCTATCCATCCATTTTCCAAACCTCTTGTTGAGTCACGGGGATGCTGGAAATGCTCAAATGTCTCATGGAAAACACAGCAGTGTGCTGTGAGGTTCAGGTAACACCAGTCTTAAAGGTGGGGTAAGTAATTTCTGTTAGCCAATGTTGATATTTCAAATCACCAAAACAAACACGCCCCTTCCCCAAAAGGGTCTCGCCCCTATTTTGATAGCTCCGCCCCACACATACGTACGCAATCAAGGCAACGATTAGTTCTGGGAAACAAAGCAAAACCAATGTTACACTGTGTCAACACCGGACGCAAGCGGCGCAGCGCAACAACATACTATAGAACTCATTATAATCAGTGATGCTGTGTACACTGGATGCGGCGCAGCGCAACACGACAAATCCCAGACAGAAAACTGCTGCTGCGTTCTATTTATGACGTATTGACACAAATTTCAAATGATTTTCAACGGTCGCTTTATCGCGTCCAGTGTAGACAGACTTTAGCTGTTGCGGTGCGGCGCAACAATTGTCGCGTCCGGTGTAGACACAGTGTTACTCACCTATTGAGAAGAAACAAAGCAACCTCGGCGTCCGATCGCAGGCCTTCCGCTCCTTGGTCCTCCACATCATGAGTAGACATGCCCTTTACTGCTGATTGGCTACAAGTTTGTTTTGGTACTCGGCCCGACTCAGTTTTCTAAAGCGTTTTTGAAAAAATGCATATACCTACCTATAGCCCACATATTGATCTGGAGTCTCTCCTGGATTTAGCACGTAAATCATATTGGACGCAGTTGTTTTTTACAGATAGGCTATGTTAAATATTGAAGTTTGGATAATTCAATTGACACTGTATCTTTACTTTGAGCATTCGGAAACAAAACATCTTTCCAACTGTAATCCTGTGTATATATGATTATATTGGAATGTTGGAAATACTTGCCGCTGCATGTCATGTGAGAGAAACCGCGGCATCAGGTGGAGTTTAGTAAACACACACGGACGGATAGAGGAGGCCTTCTTGCTGTGAGGCGACAGAGCCACTGATCACTGCCACCAATAGCAGCAGAAACATGCATAAATAGTAGGATACTTGGGATGTGGAGTCTCATAAACTGCTTCTTTCCTAGATTAGGCTACAACTTGAAAAGAAATAGAAAATGAAAATGACAAGACCTAAGACAAGAGCAACATAAATGTAAAGTAATCTCGTAATATATTGATTATTTTCCTCAGATTGTAAAACAAATCTTTCATAGTCCTACTGCTAATCTGAATTAGCAAAGTTGGAGGAAGATACTAGCCTATTACTTATTGTGCATTTTGTGGAATAAAAATTAAATTACTAATACAACCTTAGTTTAGACCTTTAGATCTTATGCATTGTGACTGGCAGATCAAACAAACATGATCTTTCCAAGCTTTGTATTAGAAAACAGTAGTGTCGCTTGTCCCCCTATTACAATTAAATATATATATAGAGAGAGAGAGCTTTCCATGTAGGACCTGAGCAACATAAATCAAGTAAATCCAGATTTTCAGCTCCAGTGTAAACGGTGACAGTTGCAACCATGGTTTCTTTTGTGTTTGATTTCTCTGTGGCTGACAGTAAAGAGAAAAGCATGTTATTAAGTCATGTCATTTGACCAGTATGTGGTGTCTAAATTCCTGCAGATCAGACCACAGGTCGTCGGGGTAAAGCGAACTGTCCCACTTCAAGATTTTTTTCTGCTAATATTAATTTTGGGGTAATGAGGAAATGTTCACCATCTTGTTTTATATTTTACAGGGTTTGGAAATAGTATTAGGCATAACGATGTTTGCCTTAACAATCTGGAAAGGGTTATTTTACATTTTGTGGGCTTCTATCATTGCAAGTCTTTTATTTCAGTATCAGAGCAATATTGTGCATTGAGCAAATGTTTAAACAATATATTTTCTTCACTGCAGTCAGTTTTAATTGGATCTTTGACGGTGTTAGCTGCACACAAACGTACCATACGATGGGTTTGTCTGAATCTCTTAAGTATTTTACATTTCATTTTATTTGAATGAGAATAATATCAGAATACAATAAATTATATTTTATACATTTTTGATTTACCTAAAGAGCCTTTCTCATTTCAGATCAGAGCCTCACAATCTCTAAACTACCTCAATGCTATAGCATCTATTTTCTCCATCCCATTTCATGGGTTTGCGAATGATGTAAGTATACAGACTTCCTGCTTGAAATACATGAGATCTGCAAAAATCACTTACTCCAGAAGAGCACTTGCATTTATGTTGGTTGGTATTAAATGCATCAGTTACCAATTATTTAGTTATACTTAATACTAATCTCTCCTTTATGCTGTTTATATCAACCTAGTTGAACTTTAGTACAATTTCCTCAAGACAAATAATTCGAGCTAATGCAAAAATGAGTTTTAGTTCATAATCCTCCTGCCTCTAATATTCACTCAGGGTGTGACTCTTATTGTATTGATGGTATGTGATGCTCTGATCGTCGTCTTCTCCATTACTGTTGCCTCAACTTCCTGCTGCAGGCCAAAGGTAAAACTCAAGACGTGGTTTAAAGATTCTTACTTAATAGGATAGCTGACACAAAAATTACAATTCTGTCATCATTTACTCAACCACATATCCTTCCAAACCTGTATGACATACAACACAGCTTATTTCAGTGAAAAAACCCATATAACAAATTAATCACATTTATATATCACAGCAGATCTCTATTCATTCAGATGAACAATGCCATCTTCAACTTTTGTTCATGTGCATAACAGATGCTATGGATGAACTTAATAGTTAATTTATGTATTATATTATACTTTTTATATATATATATCTGTGGTATTATGCTTATACTCACACTAAATGTAAATGAGAATGAAATGTAAAATTACTGTTTTTACTGCTCATGCAAAATATTCTGGTTTAAAATCTCACCGTTTAGCATGTTGAGATTGGGAGGAGCTGAGCATGTTTATCTAACTTGTCCATAGACTTCCATTGTAGTTGCAGATTTTTTATATTAGTCATAAACATTCATGCAAAAATCATCATGCAAGTGCTTTCAAATGTTTGTTATTTTATAGCATTTTTTCAGAATAGCAACTAGTGTTATAAATAAAGGAACATATTTCTGCATATTGTATATAGGCCCAGAATAGTGTGAAGTTTCAGAAATTTTCTACAATTTTTTCCGAATTTTAGGTGGAGTCTCATAAACTGCTTTGTAGGTGAACTACAACTGAATAAGAAAGAGAAAATAAAAATGACAAGACATAAGACAAAAGCAACATCAAGTTAAATCAATCAATTATTATTTTGCTAATATTATAGAACAGTAGTACATGTACTACTGATCTGAATGGACAGGAAGCTGAGATGAAGATTACTGTACACTTTGTGGAATAAACTATCAAGCTTCATTTAAAAAGAGGCTTACATTTTTTATCTTTATTTGTGTTGATGTAGCCACCACTTGTGATTTTAAATAAATATGTGAAGTTGTGTAAAAGGTAAAAAAAAAAAAAAAGGTAAAATTAATGTTATTGCATGATCATGTTTATAATTTTTTGGAAATCTATAAAATAATGCCATCTTTATAGCCTAATTTTTAGTTTGTACTCTGACTTGCTTCTGCTAAAATTACAACCAAATAAATCAACAATTTATTTAGTTTCACATTGTTTCATTGCCTTCTCATGTGTCAACTGTAAGAACGAAAGTGAATCGAAAGTTAAATCACTGATGAAACAGATCTTAATAATATACGTTTTGATCTTTAAGAGTTCTCAAAAGGGTATTCAGCGTCTTTCGCTAATCTTGACGACAATCGCTTATTTATAATAAATTCAGCACATTCAAATCTTGTTGGATCTTAGCTTTGGTTTACAATCATTGAACTTACTCTTTCTCAAAATTACTGTTGCTCGTGTTTAAAGGAAAACATTTCATAAAATAAGAATGTGCAGGTGTGTGTCGTATCCATGCACTCCAGCAGAGGGCGTACAAGGGGCAAATAAACAACACGTCATTGTGTAAAATATGAACATTTGTTATTTATTTATTTATTTCGGCTAATTTTTATTTTGTACCCTTTTATTACTTGAGTTCAGAACTCATGAAATAAACCAAAAATGAACACTAAAATACGTCACGAAAGAATTAGAACGTGTCACGTGTCAGTATTTAAAGGCTTGGAACTCACTAGCTCATTTTGTTGGTAGAAGTTTCGGAGTAGTCTGTTTTCAGAGTGAAAAAAAAACTGTGTTATCATGGTACTGTTTTCACGACTACAGAAAGCGTTGAAAGTGGAGCGTGCACACGAACCCCAACCCTGTGTGCCGCTCAAATTCCCGCCCATCCCGGCGGAAAACCCTCCTCATCGGCTCGATGAGA